CATAAATGCTGGAATTTGCTGTCGGAAGGACATTAAAGGGATAATAATCAGGGAGTACTTTCACAAAGATCCATGCGGCCACTAAAAGGCTATATTTAAAGAAGACGCACACACACACACACACACACACACACACACACACACACACACCAAGGCCAGTTCAGAGCTGTATAGGAGAGTTTCCCTTTGACTCGGGGCTTGTATGGGTGAGCTGCATGCGTGCGCCCGGCACACCGAGGGAGAGGAGGTGGACGCGATCCAGCGCTCATCGATAACCGGAGCTTGTTCTCGCATCGAAGGGGTCAGGCCCTCATTACAGATTGGCTGGCCGTCAGAGAGCACAGCTGCTCGCTTTGGCCGGTACGGGCGGCGCGCAGCCAGCTGTGCAAACAAACAATCGGGGACAGAAACTGGACAGTCGGAGGAGTTCCAGGTAGACCCCAGACTGAAGGCGGGCCGTGACACCTGTAGGGCACGTCGTCAGGGGAGACCTGATCCCGGCACCAGGAAGCCGGCCACTGCAGCCGTTGAGGGGGGGGTGAGGGCGTGGGGGATTAGAGCGCTGATCGTTGCAGTCGTAGGATAATGCTGCCGACGCGCGCCCAGTGCTGCCCCGCAGACCTCAGGCCCCCGGACGGACACCTTTATTATCCTCGCACGTCTTGTTCCTCCTCCAATCAAGACCCGTTTCAGCTCTTTGCAGCACCTCCCCTCCAAACGTCTCCTCTCCTGCCTCTCCCCGCCGTGCTTCTTTATTAGGTCGCCGCCAAGGTTTAAGAAAGATAGAAAGCTTTGCCGAGGCTTGCCCCGACTTCTTTTATCGTCTGGGCATTAGCCATCTGCTGGCACATGTGCGGGAGAGCTCGGGGGGAGGTGTATCACTGAGAGCCTGGTGTTTGTGTAGTAGCCACAAAGGCAGACAGGATCTCTAAAATTAGGCCCTGGCCATTCTAACTCGAACATGTCTGGCCTTATCTCGTCAGAAGGTGGCTTTTACCCCAGCCGAGTGTTGTCCTAGAGACATGGCAGGTCTGATCTGCTTTTTTTCTCCCCCCTCTAACCTGTTAAGTGCCTCCAGGCGGCCGGAGCTCAGCAAATTTTTCCATGACTTTTAGGCAATTTGATTGTGTTTTGATTTGAATGTCCACTCCAATAAAAGAACACACTGTGCAGGGAGTGCCTCGTGGTCACAGAGGGAGAGTAAAGGATCCCCAGAGTGCAGGGAACACTGGGGTCAAAGGACAGCTTATTGCAGATGTTGGTGGATCATCTCCAGAATCTGCTGAACATTCAACCCAAATTCCCACTGATTAGCTTAACCAAAGTCTGCTGCGTGGCTGCAGACTGCACTCTGCGCGTGTGCAGAGAAGTTGGTCCCCCCACCCCCCCCTCCTTTTATCAGGCTCAATAATCCAAATGACAAAACAACCTATTGTTTGTTCTAACCTGCCGGCTCATCTCCTTGGGGAAGGAATGGCAGTGGAAGGCCACTTTACTGCTTCCAAACACCCCTGATTGGATTGAGAGAGAAGTAGAGAGAGAGCAGTAAAAATAGTTTGACACCCCCAAGGTCTAGCCAGCAATCTCCTCTCAGCCCTTGCCCATAAAACTCTTTGAATTCCCTCCTAAAATCTCTCTCCACTCTCCCCCTCTGCATCTCCTAGCTGCTCTCTTCTTTTTACGGCATTGCTTCAAACCACAGAAATTTTCTTTCGGTACGTTTTGATGAGTCATCCAAAAAATCGTTTGCCGTTGAATTGAATAAGGATCCATTTTGGTGACTCGTCCTGGTCACCTGGATCAGGCCTGGCCGATGGTTTGCCTGGATTATACGCGACAGCCCTTAGAAACCAGGGTCCCACATCCGATTCCCAGCTCTCAGCGACAGCTCGAGAGATGGAGACACCCTCATCCTCCCTGGCTGTGCGGCAGTAAAGTACTTTTTCATGTTTTCCAGAGCGAGGCGCTCGTTGAGGCTAGAATGAGACCAGACCTGGTCTGGTGTGCTGGTGTGGTCAGACCCACTCTCCGTCTCTCTATTTTTTTTCTTTTCCCCTCACAAATAGTTTACACAGTGATGCAGACGGAGTGCGGACATCTCTTACTTCGCCCTGCGTTTGTGGCGGGAGTTGTCCGAGGCGAGCCCCAAAACTTGTGTGAATACGTCCTAAAACTCCTTCTGGAGTGTGTATTTATCTCCCAACACAGTTGAAAGACACTGCTTTTACGCTAATGGGTCGCATTTGTGCTAAACTTGGGGCAGCTTTGCGCTTCGACGCAGAGATGGCGATGGCGGGACAGACGGCATTAAGGTGTGTAAGGAGGAGCGGGTAAAATAACACTGATGTCAGCCTCTCTACTGTACTGGCATGCTGTCTAACAGCACACATCGGGAAGGGGAAAACCGGACTCTGCTAGCTCAGTGTTAGCGTGAAAGCAGCAGCAGCATCACAAAGTCGTTTTGGGGCCATTGTGATGCGACCTCTATGTGACTGCACACACAGTCTGTGTGACTCTGTGTGACCCACCCCCAGACCACCAGTGTAAAGTTATTCTAGAAAAAAAAAAGCAAGAACACTTATGACTCGTGTCAAATACAACTTTCATCCACCCATGACCTCCTGGATCTATTCAGTTTGTTTTTCGTAGCATAGCAATGTTACTCGTTTGAAAAACTAGTGGGGAAAAAAAGACATCTTCATCTCAGCGTTATCTCTTCCTCCTCCCTCCCTTATTAAGCAATCAACAGTCTGTTTTGCCTGTCCTCGGCAATCATAGGACATCACCCGAGGATGAATGCTCTCCCCTCGGAGAGGAAAACAAAGCCTGGAGAATTAGCATTTTCTGACAGCCATTACTCATAGGGCTAATCCTGTCAAGGAATGTGTGGCTATCAATGCAGGCAAGGGGTCGCCACCACCGAGGCCTGCACACGGGCTCTTATCAGGGAGGGTAAACACACCGGGGTCTGCATTAAATAAGTGTCACAGCCAGCGGGGGCGGAGCAGGCAAAGCCCCCTGCCAGTGTCCATGCTGATAATTCTTTTTTTTTTTTTAAAGAAAAGAAAAGCTTTAGTCGGATCCAGCCGGGGCCTGTTTCTCAGGTGCCAACGGGGGAGGTGAGGGCTCGATCCATCACAGCTTACAAGTCTTTCGGATATTTTTCGGAAGCTTGCACACACCGAAGATTTTCTTTCAAATGGATTAACATGACCAATAAAGTTGTTGGGACACTCGAATGTTCTCGGTATTCTCAGGGGGCTATTACCACACTATAACAGAGTCCGTGTTCCATTTTGCCAATGTTGTTTGTAAAGAGTTTGTGACAAGATGGTGACCTGCTTGCATTGTTTGTGTCCTTTTTGTTTTCGGCACTGAAAGGTATTTGCATCGGCCCACCTCTGAGGCCTGACTCTGTGCTTTTACAGCTCTGAAACGCTTTCGGCACTGACCGGAACCTCTTGCATGACCCGGCTGCGCGTCAAGAAACCAACAATGCTGCGCGGAATGCTGCAGAGTAGAAGGCTGAGGGAGGTTTTAAGCCACTCCGAGGCAAAAGCACCTTCCCGGAGTTCACTCCAGCTGAAGGCAAACTGCGAGAACAGTGCTGTGACTGGGTGACTTTGCCACTTTTGTTGTTGTCTGGGTGCGCGGCGTGTGAACCGCGGCGCCACTCCGGGCAGCACTCGAGGAAAAGTGTAATGGTGTTACTCTTGGTGTACAAGGTGGGAAACCTTGAATAATGTGGGATGAGAACAAACCAGAGAGGCGAATCCAAGTCAGCCAGTGGGTCACCAGGAGGTGAGGCTGCCTTCTTCCCTGGGTTCAAGAAAAGTTCAGCAGCATAGCATTAGGCAAATTAGGGGAGTCGGGCTCGGGGAGGAAAAAAAATTCGGAGGGTAGAGACTGATGAGGGTCGAATTAGTTGGGAAGGAGGAGCCCGAATGAAAAGTGAGAACCGAGGAGGAACTTCCAGGGAGGGGAAAAAAAAAAAAAAAAAAAGAACAAGAGGGATGCATTCTGTGGCAGCTCTCATTACGGCCGTGAACTCCGCGTAAAGATATGAAAGACTCATTTTCTGCGCTTATATAACCAAATCGTGTCCTGAAATCCATTCCTATTTA